CCCCCCCCCCCCCGAATATAAGCCCGTCCACTTGTTTATCACTATAATTGTTTATCACTATTGCCACTATTTATTACTATTATTAATATGCTTGTTTGACACTCACTATAATTACACTGACACAAAAGTCCGTCCATGTATAAGCCCCCCGTATATAAGCCCCCTTGTATAAGTCCATCAAAAATCGCTTACGAAAGAATATAAGCCCAGGGCTTATAGTCGGAGGTTTACAGTATTGTTACCCTGAGCAAGCTTTTTATTGAGGAAATTAAATTCTGCATGCAGAAATGCATGGCACGTATTTGCTGACTTAATTTAATTAATTCTGTTAGTAGTTCTGGCTGGAACCCCGATTTTTCAGAGTTCCGGTTCCGGCCGGAACTAATATAAAAAGCATGGCCGGAACCGGAACTCTGTCGTTTTTAGAGAGATGGAATATCAAACGTTTTTGTGTCTAATAAAAGTTCACAGTAGGAAGAAATTTGGACTACACAAGGGAAATGTACACTATTAACACTTCATTATGACGTTTAACATTTGTCAATCTTTTTATTCTAACATTTGCGAGCTCTCTCCTTGATGACTTGAAGTGTCTGCTTATCTGGCAGCGGACAAAGTAACATATGACTATATATGGCTTAATAAATCAGTTCCGGTTCCAAACTTTTTTCCAGTTCGGTCGGATCCGGTTCCGGCCGGAACTTAAAGAATTGGTTCCGGTGCACCCCTAGTTAGTATGATAGACATGACCTTGGGCATTACCTTTTCAATAGAATAGTTAATTGTCTTGCAGCAAATTTCTTGGATAATACCTTATTAATTAGAAAAAAGGATAAAAATGTACAGTTGAAAGGCACTGGCTTTCTGAAATAAACTATAGTAACTGAAGGTGAACCTTATCTATGTTATTTAGGTTAAGATTGCACATCGTGAACAAGTGGAACTACTGATAGAACTTGATGATTTAGCAGAGGTGAGAATTTATTATCTCTTCATACCTTGATTTAAATAAGTTGAGTAATTTGTTTATTGTAAAAGTTGTTGTAAGTTGCAAATATTGTAAATATGTACAAGCTTGATTACAAATCATTCTTAGAAATCATTCACTGTAATTACTTGCCCTAAATTGTGATCCTCAGGGAAGGATCTATTAGGAAATATTGTGAAGATATCCCTATTTTGTTATATTCCAAAATACCTAAATCTCAAGAGCAGTAGAAAATGGGGAGTGCATCCCCACCAAGGGTCTGAGTAAGAGCACTTTAACCCATTCAGTGACAGCACCTTGACAAGTAGGCATGCATCAGGGCGCATTGCCACTGAAAGGGTTATATCTGTCAGATTCTTTACCTGAAATAAAAAACAACAAAATGTTGTATAGCTTTTTGCATGTCAACCAGGGGTGGAAAAAATATTTTACTTTTTAGGACCGCCTTGAGAACATTGAAAATGTTCTGCCAATAATCAAGTAAATAAACACTTGGACATTGTAACTGTGTGACACTAACAAGTTGTCAAACTGAATGTCATGTTATATTTTGACAGAAAATATTAATTTCAGTGCACAGAGAATCTTAATTAATACTTTTAGGGATAATAACATAATACTAATTATTTAGATAACATGCATCAAGGGTCTGATCCTAAGGTAAATACAATAAAGATGCCAAAAAAGGGCACTACCGGTACTAAGGGTACTACCAGGGGAATCATATTTCCCCAGAAAATTTTGAAAATCAGGTGCATCAGATTTGCTAAAAATGCATTATTTTGCCATACAACATTTGTTACATCATTCTATAAAAGTAAAAAGTCAGGCACTATAAAATTTATTATAAGATGGATGCTCTTACAGTATAATTGCATTTCTCAGAGCTCATGTATACAGTACACGTAACATGTTGGTTAGAATTGCCCCCCTGAATTTCTCCTTTTATCTAAATTTTACACTGAATAATCTTTTTTATCTTTCTTGGGGAAATACTTTCTGGGAACTCAAAAGTCAAAACATTTTCTGGGACCAATGTGAACTCTTCCCTAAGAGTCTGTCTAGTATGCCCCCCCCCCCCCAACCAAAGCAATGTTCACTGCATATGCTGGATTTTGTTGTCCGCTTTACATTGACTGGATTCACAACTTACATATTGTTCCAACATTGTTATCATCCAGATTTAGAGAAAGGATCCTTGATGCAATAGAAATATCTTTAAGATCATCAGTGATCAGGACATCATCATCAATAGTCCATCATCATCAATAGTCCATCATCATCAATAGTCCATCATCATCAGTGATCCTTCATCATTCATTATAGTCAACAATACAATATTGTCACAAAAATCCATAAAATGAATGATCTGGACATCATCATCAATAATCGATTCATCATCACCATTAATATCTATAACCATTGTATCAAATGATTACATATCTGATTATGATGTGATCATATCTTGCATTTTGTTTTTTCTCAAAGATTGATCCAGATTTTGCCCAGCGTATAGTGGAAAATACACGAAGATATAGTAAAATATTTTCTGAAGCAATAGATGAAATGTTGCCTAACTACAAAGATAGGGAGGTTAGGCTGAAATATGGTTCTTTCTATAATTTTTTACAAGGTGTTGTTTTTTGATAGGGTAAAATATGCAAGACAAATGGTTGTCTGCTGCAAGAAACGTTATGAGCCCATTTCAAGGTCCCTCAGCCAAACTACTTAATAGTAGAGGTCAACTTGGAGCAAGGTCTCATTATTGAAACAAGGCTAATATTATACAAACAAGCATTGCCTGTTTTACGGCTAGCATAGCTAAATCTTGAAATTGTCAGATTCATTTTTGAACTAACCACAAGTATAAAATGTTCTGGGAATAACAAGGATGAACTAGAGTGACCAATTTGGCAATAAAAACATTTAGATTGCCAGTACAAATCAATGTCTTTGTACTTCTTTAGATTCAAAATAAAGATTCACTAGATGTATACATTGAACATCGTCTGCTGATTGAACGTCAGAATCATAGAGAAGGTGAAGTTCGAGATCCTCGGGACAGATATCCTCCAGAATTACTGAGACGATTGTAAGTACAGTGGCTGGTTTATATGAATGTCGGATAGCCCTACCCATTGGATAGTGATTGTTTCAACATTTCTAAAATAGGCTGACAAGCTGTGAAACCATGGATATGACCTTATAATTTATAAATACTTAAGTTTAATCTGGGGTTATACAAATCAACGGCCAAGTTTTAAAAGCTTGAACAATCACTCTCTGGTGCTATGTCCAACCTTCATACAACTGGCCCCTGGTGATTGTCACTAGTATGTTGAAGTTTTCTGCTGTCAAGGTTTTCTAACGGTATGATAAGTTGTTAATGGGGAGTAAGGATTTCTGATGATGGAGATGCAGTAGGTGCCTTCTTACTGGCATACACTTCGTGAAATATTGGAGGAGCAAATTAGGTTGCCAATATATGACAACCTTTTGTATTAATTAATACGTGTTTATGCCTTAAATTTCATGCAATACATAACTATATGTAACTTAGTTGATAGCCCACCAATGCTTTCATGGTTGAAAAATTTCAGAAATACACCGATTCAGGAAAAAATTAATTGTGCACGGAAACGAGGCTTAATAGCCCTTGGCACAATTTAATATCCAAAATGGCGGCAGAAAATATTTGTGCTGATGTGCGATTAGACGATTTCACAGTCGAATTAAAACCAGAAGACATCCCTGGTGCTTCTGTTAATGACAAGGATATCGGAAAGTTAAGTGTTAATCAACTGAAATTCTGGCTAAAGTGTCGTAGGGTGAAACAGGGCGGAAATAAAAAGGAGCTTTTTGGAAGGTAAGCGTACTGCGTTCACACATGATGATGATCGCTATGATTAGTATGATGATTGGGCAATGTTTGTGTTCACACAATACATTTTGCTTGACTATTACTCGCTTTTTAGGGTGTGCAATCTCAATGCTATGCCTGAAGTGAGGGAGAAGGTATTTGACCCTGATCCAAACAAAACATTCACTAAGGCTAAGCTGGCCAAACTCAGGGAAAACGGCATAAATTGTTCAAATGCGGAAGTGGAAAACGATGCTTCTGCCAGTTTGGGGAAGTTTCCTTCGGATGACAGTGCTTTCAACAAAGACTTCTCCATACTACCAGTATTTGTTCCAACAGATACCCTAGATCATACTCAAAAGTGCGGGAAGTCAACCAAAAAATCTGATGGTGACGCTATTGCTGAGATGTCAAGTTCGAAAGGACTTCGAATGGTTTCATTTGTGCACGATATGGAAGTTAGCAAAGCTGGCGAAGGAGATGTTGTTTATCTTAGAGCTTTATGTTGGGCATCTTATAGAAAATGTGTCAAGTACAAAGTTCGAATGATTGTAAACCCACGAGGAAGTCCAAAAATCGTAGCAGCAGAGTGTGACAAAATTTGTCCTGCTGGACGAAGTGGATGTTGTTGCCATGTGATGGCTGTAATCTGGAAGTTGGATGAAATGTCCAGAAATAGCAAATGGGTCATTCCAGAAAAGACCCGCACTCCCCCCACAGAGGAAATTTCTGCCGTCCGGAGGGGGAGGGGAGAAAAAATTGTTTCTGATAATAGTAAATGCATTACGACATCCGAAGGGGGTAGGGGGGTTAACTTCCAATTTCCTCCGTGGGGGTGGTATGAATGTTTTCTGGAATAACCCAATTGCAAAAGCCTACACAGGATGATCGTGCATGTACTTCCAAACCTAGGAAGTGGGGTATCCCTGGTAGGAGAGAAGTAGAGCATGAAGCTGTGATGGCTTCTAAGCTTGTCAAGCCAAGACATATTTTAGATACACCTGGCAGAAAGAGGAGGGGTGTATTCCCTACCTTATTTGATCCACGCCCCAGCAAATATAGAAAGCTATCTCCAGAATCAGTTGAGAAATTTAGAGATAATTTAAGTGCAACAAATCCAAGTATTCCTTTTGCTAAAATGACCCCTAATTCTAATGATATTATTCTTGTAGATTCTATGGTTGGTTTAATTGCAAAAGGTTCTGTACTTGACTTGCAACTTAAGGATTTCAGTAACAAGACCACTGAGAGTAAACAGTCTGCTCAAGGAAAAAGCACATCTGTACTGCATCCTAAAACTTTAATGAACTCAAATGTGTCTTCCAACACATTCTCTAAAACACATGATACAAGTAAGAGTTTTGATACTGCAAAAAATACTCGGGAAATTTCACAGGGAAAATATCATATAATATCTCCACCAAAGCAACAACCACTTAGCCTAGATGAAATAAGTGAACGGTGTAAGAAAATTAAGTGTAAACTTTTTGTGTCAGAAAATGAAATAAAAAAAATAGAAAAAGAGACCCGGGGGCAATCTGATAATCCGAAGTGGTTTGCCTACAGATTTGGCCGAGTTACAGCTTCAAAATGCCACAGGGTGGCTTGTCCACATAAGTCTAGCACTTCACCTTCCAAAATTGTAAAAGAGGTTTTAAACTACAACCCTAGTGTCCAAACAAATGCTATGAGGGATGGAATTAAAAACGAAAAACTAGCAGTTACTGATTATGTAAAAAAAATGCAACAAGAAGGTCACTGTGACCTTAAAGTTGAAGATTGTGGTTTTTTTGTATCAAAACATCATGGGTTTATAGGTGCTTCTCCTGATGGTCTTGTTACTGATCCCAGTGTTGAGAATCCCCTGGGAATAATAGAGGTGAAGAATATCATTGTTAAAGACAGTGAAGATTTATCATTAGCTTTAGTAAGAAAATCAATATGCAAAAAAGATGGGATGGTTAATAAGAGGCATATGTATTATTACCAAATGCAACAGCAGTTATATGTTGTAAACAGAACATGGTGTGATTTTGTGGTCAGAGCAAGTAATGGAGAACTTTATTGCATAAGGGTTCCATATGATCCAAAATGGTGGATTGAAAAGTTTGCTAATCTTGAATTATTCTATGATTCATACATTTTGCCAGAATTGGCCTATCCTAGACTGAGGGATGGGCTTGACCGATATGATTTTTCTCAATAAAAGGAAACAAGTGTTGTGTTCAAGGTTACATTGTTTAATTACAGTAAGTACAGT